TGTGTGTGTGTGTGTGTGTGTGTGTGTGTGTGTGTGTGTGTGTGTGTAATGCTTGTAGAAGCCAATGCAGACCCAGGATTACGGTAATGCCTCCTTCATTTTCCTGCCTATCTCCCTCTGCCTTTTCCTTTCCTGGGGCCTTTGATAATGCAGGGAATCTGCACTCTGTCAATTAGCACTTGCCTGTGTTCTTACCCAGCCTGCAGCCGGGGGAAGGAGGAAGGTAATGCCCATAATCTCGTCATGAGCAGAGCTAAGAACCTCCCAGTCTTAGCACTTGAGAACAAGTAGGTAATTTGTGCTTCACCTTGTCTCTGTGGCAGGATAGTTCTGTCATAATGACATGAGGAGGACTGAGATTCCTGTATATTGCAGTCAGCTCCTTCTAGCTGAAGCGGGGGTTGTGTGGTGGTGACGGGGAGCCTTGTGATATCCAGGGAGGCAGAGAGCTTGTGTTTACACTCTGTGGAGCTGTGTGAAGGGCACAGTAGAGCTCCAAAAGGAAATAACGGTACCCATTTCTCTCCTTCCAGAAGCTCCATCCAGAGTCACAAATCCTAACCAAAGTTGTATCATGGCTCTGCCCTTGGAGTTTTTCCATGCCTCCCGTCTTCTCTGTCTTTTACTCTGTCTTTTCCATCTATTGGGAACACGCTGGTTCAAGTTGCTTTTCCCTCCAAACTCTAGAACCCACAGGGTCTCATACTCTAGTCCAAGCTGTCCCGAGATTTACGGTATAACTGTCATAGTTTCTCTTCCCATTGCCGTGATGAAATACTCTGGCAAAAGCAGCCTAAAGAAGACAGGGTTTGTTTTAGCTCACAGTTAAAAATGTGATCCGTTAGGGCAGTGAAGCCTAGGTGTCAAGTGCTCGAGGGAGCTGATCACATTACATCTGCAAGGGCAGAAAGAGGAGGTCCATGAATGCATGCGGAAATGCATTATGATGCTACTCGGACTTCCATTGCTTTTACAGTGGTTCTCAACCTGTGGGTCGTGACCCCTTCAGGAGGTCAAAGTATGGGTGCACAGTTTCACGAGGGTTGCATATCAGATATTTACATTACAGTTCATAACAGTAGAAAATACGGTTATGGAGTAGCAATGAAAATAATTTTATGGCTGGGGGAGGGAGGTGTCACCACAACATGAGGGACTAACTGTATTAAAGAATCACAGCATTAGGAAGGTTGAGAACCACTGACTTTATACAATCCTGGATCCCCTTTCCCAAGGACTAGTCCTGTCCACAGTCAGAATGGATCTTCTCATATCAGGTAATATGACTGATGTTAACCTGCAGGTTGATTTTAAACTTGAGATGTCCTGTGTCAGCCTCCCAGAGACTAGGATGGCAGCTGGGCGCCACCACAACTAACCTTTTGAAAAACTCTCTGTTAGCCATTTAACATCTATCCTGCATTTCTTCTTTTGATTAATATTAGGGGGTGGGGAGGGAAGTCTGGGCATCTGTCTGGGCAGAAAGGAAGCCATTTAGTATTAGAGTCAGTAATCACGGCCTCCCCCACTCCCACACACCTTCTTTCTGAATCTCTCTTCATTCCCAGAGCTAAGCAGAGTGGGTAGTACCTATGCCATGCTGTTTGTTGCTGATGATGTCACAGTCTCATCCTGGCCCCCAAGGGCTGTGATGTATGTGTGTAAATAGATCCAGGTATTCTTTTAAAGAATCTTCTTTGAAATATTTTAAAATATTTCTTTTAAAATATTTTTTTCTTTTAAAGAAAAGACACATTTAAGAAATTCTCGGTGTATATTTTTTAAATGTAGCTGTAAAGTCACAAATGAGGGATGTCCAAAAGACTATCCTCTTCCCACTGTGAATATTGACCATGAGCCCCGTGCCGAGTTTCACACTAGGACAAAGATAAACTTTATGCCCACCTCCACCTCCCTCCCTCACTGTCACATCATTTGCCTTTGGAGCCAAACCTCTCAGTCTAGCAGTTGTCTTTGGAGCCATTAAATTGGAGATTTGAAGGGGGGGTTCATTAAAGTGACAGGTTTGATAGATTAGGGTAGCGATTCCTAATTTCGTTTTGAGGTCTGTTGGGGAAGGAGAAGAAGGTTTTTGTATGAAGACTTTTATCTTAAGAGTTGAGAGTTCTTTTTCCATGTTCTGAGCCAATGGAGGAAAAAAAAAGGCCAAAGCAGAATGCAAGTGGAAGCCAGAATTCTTATGCTACTCCTAACAGTTATTGAGTGAGAGCCAAAGGGACTTACCACCTCCCTGGTGCCCTTGGTTCCTGAGTGCAGCCCTTGGTAGTCATAACTGGAGCCATTTTGAGTCTGTAGAGCCCTGCCTATGGGAAAGAGAAAGAGGTCAAAGTTTACATTGATTACTCCTACCCAGAAGAATCTGATTTTCACCCAGAGGAGGGTGGGGCCACATTTCTGTTCAGGCCTAGCCAGATAGCTCACTTCCCATCCTGGAGAAGGAAAAGGCAGAACAAAGGGCCAGGGATGCTTAAAAGACAAGGGTAGGTGATGCTTCTGCTTGATACACGGTTTACCCTCTGCCTCCCAATCAATGCAGACTGACCTCCCAGCTCGATCCTACCACCTTCAG